AAAAGCACTTCTTTATGACAATAATTCACAAATTCACAAGAATCACTTTAATATACAAAGCAATTACTACCATTCTGAAACACAAAGCAGCTAATATGTACATAGTGTTAATAAAATGCATTATAACCCAGTACAATTTTATTTAAAAAAACACAGATAAAGCACAAAAAAAAAAAAGGTAAAAAAAAAACCCCAACAAAAAACCAAAACACAACAGGGATGTTTCTAGATTTTTGGGGAGATGTAAATAAGAATTTATTTTCCCCCAGTAATGGGTTTTCATTTAGTCTTTCAACTTCCACAAGTATGTGGGAGTCAAGCTCAAATACCCTGTTCTGTGCTGACATGGTAGGGGTAAAGAATCAGAAATGCAGATGAGGTGAACTTACTCTTACCAGCTTACATTACAAAGGGACAATAATAACCCCTGCTGTGGAAGCTTCCCTGAAAAACAGTGTTCCAAAACAATTCCAAATTATAAATCCAAAGTAGAAACGACTAATTTTTTAAGTGAACAGCCAATCTGTGGACAAGTCTGTGGAGGGGTTGGCTGCCATCTAGCACCTTTTCTTGCCCTGTTCCCCTTTGCATTCCTAGAAGTCCTCATAAGCAGCACAGTTTCAAATCTCATACAAAACTCGAAGTTCTAGAACTTCTTAAAATTAATGTTTTAATATAAATAAATGTCATTACACACACCAAAAAAAAAAAATAAAAATGGAGTGGCACCTGGATAAAACACTACTTGTGGAGAGCACCTGAACATCCTTAATTCTTGAGTGGCCATTCCCAGGTACAGAACTGGCTCAAAGCCCTTCCTTCCCTGTGCTCTCGCTCAGGTTTCCCCTAATTTAGAGAAATACGTAACTGAGGCTGAGACTGGGTGAACCGGCCGCTCCCAAGCCACGAGTACAGTATGTGGTCAGCATATGAAGTGTGCTAACCCTGGATCATTACAGCCTGCCCCTGGCCCCTTCCCTGCCAGCACAGAGCTCTTGAGGACAGCTGACTTCTGCTGCCTTGCACTGATGAAAGTGAGACCTGAACTTGCCACTTACACAGCGAGTCACAAACTGCATCTCCACTGCCAGAACACAAACAGGTCACTGTCTTCAATTTGTGCTATGCTAACTAGCCCAAGCTACTCTCTTTGCGGGCCAGAGCTTAAATACATTTAGAAAACACACTGCAAGGCAAAACACTTGAAATGCAAACTCTGCCAACTGGATCTGGTCCCTTTTCTCTGAAGATGTACAGGTTTAAGCCATATCCATCCACAGACCTGAACCTGTCACAAGCATGCAGTGGATAGGATTTAAAGCACCCTGTTTCTTTTCATCAGTCTGGCTCCTCCCATACCAACTGAGCTTCATGATACATTCAGGGTTCTGCAAAATCAGCGTCTTTTACAGCTAGCAAATTCAAAAGCTCAGGGAAATGAGTTCCCAGGCACAGCAGAGAGAACCATCAGTGTACTGTATGCTTTCAAAACCTGCTCACAGTGACAGATTCAGGGTTATAGCTAAATTATCACTGCTTCTGCAAAAGAAAGGTGGTTGTGCTTTTTTCGTGCTTTTTTAAAGCAGGGTGACCCATTGACAATGTACCTTTACTTCCTGGTGCCAAAGAATTGGAAAGCCTTTTGATTTATTGTCTTGGAATGCAGCTTGTGAAATCTGCAGCCAAATCTCATATTAAGAGAAGGGGAATAAAGTGGCTGAAAACCAGTTTAGCTTTCCTTCCAGATTAACCCCCCTTTCCCACTTGGGACCACTGAACTAGTTCTATTCTAAAAATAATTCCACATCCATCCTGTACATACTGCTCTGAGCCACCACACACTTAATACTTTCCAGTCCTCAGCGCTGCCAGTTCACATCTCCTGCCATTTTGAAGTAATGCCTGCTGGATGCCAGGTGCTAATCAGCAAGTTAAATTTGCGAGGGATTCAACTGCTGTGGGGAGAGGAGTGAATTGTGTGCAGGCAGCAGGATTACAACAACCGTGCCAGGCAGAAGCTTCTCAAGCAAACCCAATTGATCTTAAATTTCTCTTTTGTTCTGTGTGTGTGTTGTTTTTTATTTTTTTTATTTTTTTATTTTTTTTAAAAAAAGTGCACATTTTAATTAAACATTTACAAAGAATATAGTGTAACAAAAATAAATACATGACCTTTTGGTTAGATCATTGGCAAATGTCACATCACTAACCAGCTTCTGGGTGGAAAAATGACCATGAAAACAGGGTCTTTGAACACCAATGAAATCCTTGATGAATTGTCATAGATTTGCACTGATACTGAACTTGCTTTGATGGGGAGACTTGTCTTTAACCCACAAAAAGCACTGGCTGTCATAAATTAAAAAGACATATAATAGAAAAGCAGAGGCCAGTTTTCGCTAACAGAGGACTACTTGCAGCTGCAGGCTACTGGAAGCCCAAATGTGAAAGAAAAACGTAGTACAAATTTAGATCAGAAACTATCAGGGCTGTTTTTCCTTATTTTTTAATATTTTTTCCTGAGCCTCTTAATGATTCCAAACACCCCACCAATTTTCTGATCAATGTACGAGTACCAGAGAAGACTGGTCTAAACGCAAACGCCAACTACAGAAGAGTCAGAACCTACAGGTGTCTGTACAGTCCTGACGAGCATGACGGGCTAAAATTGTGCTTTCAGATACAAGCAATGATGCTGGTAACTACCTGATGCTGGTGAAATCGCTGCTTAAATTAAAATGCATCGCCACTACCCCAGGAGGAAAAACAGAACTCTTACCAGTGGTTCCTTTAGAAAACAAACACAACACCTCAACAATCTTTCCAATTGTTTTGCCTTTGATATATAGCTGCCAAAGAGAAAAGAAGCACAAAAGTGAATTATTCTGGGGGGGTGGTGGTTGTAAAACACCTGTTTACATAACTTTAAAAATCTCCATCAATAAAAAAACGAAACCAAACCTCACAAAAGCCATGAAAGTTGAAATAAAGTTCTCGAAAACGAGTAACTGAGAAACAGCACAAAACAAATCAGCAATAAGCGCTCAAATAATAAAGCCCAGAAGTCCTGGGGCGGGGGAAGCTTTCACACACACACACATCCACACACACCCAGACACACACAAAAAAAGTAAAAATCTTCTCTGACCTCCATATACTATAATACTCAGCATTCCTGACTTAAAAGCTCTCAGAGCTGTAGATTATATACTGTGTGTATATATATATATGTACATATATTATACATATGTATTTTCCAAGAATATCTAAATTAAAAGAGCACCTCTGACAATATCTTAACTGCCTGATTGGTGCTGTTGTTTTGCAAAATAATGACATTACAAAAATTATATTTCAAATCAATTCTTGTTTATTATGAACATAATGGATCTAGCCCTTTCTAACCCTCTCTTCAGGTAAAACAGGCTATCAGTTCTTGAAAACTCACAACTGTGAGATATAAAACTAACCCTCCCCCCTGCCAGCATAAATTCTGTCCTATTTCCAAATGGCCTTAGTTTATAGAAGCTGATTACCCCAACCTCACTACTTGGTAAATAAAGTATGACTGGATTCCTGCGTCACGTTCTTTCCCTTTTTGAGTCAACATGAATAGTAAAGCATGTATGGATAACCCTAGCCAGCCTTGTACTTGGTCTAAGACATTTTTATTATTGTCATTTAAAATTTCCATTAAATAAATTAAAGTCCCTAAGTCCTCAGTGCAGCATAAATAAAAATAAAGATTCTTGCAGATCCCTATGCATTTTAAAACAATGTTCTTTTTTTCCTTAGTGAAACATTGGTTACTAACGAGGTCTAGACTAGTAACACTACAGACTACTTGCAGACCATGCACAGCCAAACCAGTAACAGTTCTCCTCTTACTGCTGCATGAATTAGCACCAACCCTGCATTAGAAGAACCCTGTCCAGGTACCGTTTTAGGTTCCCTGGTCCATCCAGCTCTGAGGCTTTGTTCCAAGCGACCATCAGCAAGTGCTAGACAGTGCTCATTACCCACTAGTACAGCTTTCAGATTGCAGCTAGCCTCATTCAGGCTCACTGCAAAACCTCAAGTTTTTGCAAACAGAAAGTTCTACAAAGAAATAGCTTTAACATAGGCATGTACAGCCTTTTCCGTGTTTCTCAAAGCTGGAGGAACCATTCCACATGACTGTGCAAATTAGGCCACCATGAGCTTCGTTTTACAAGAACAATTCCTGGGTTATCAAGATTTCTACTTCAGCACTAGTTCTGGTAACCGCTGTATGTATTTGCATTCTCTGACAGTTTTCACAAAAGCATTGCTGAGAATTTAGGGTCGTCTTTAAATTTGCATTGTTAAACTAATAAATTCGTCTTCCATTAAATAAAAACATGAAAATCAATTCTCTATGGCAGATAAAAATAGACAACTTATAAATCCCCTCAAAACTCAAGAAAATGAATTCTTCAATAATTCTGATACTTAAGTTCTCTTCCTGAAATACATACGTAATTTGAAATTATTGATAACTCTAGATTTAACACTAATGCTGTTAAGTTTAACCCTGCTCCTTTTAAAGTCTCTTGGAAACGGAATGCCCTCTCGAATGAGAAAACTAGAATTTTTAATACTGCTTAATTGTTTGAGACTCAACTGCCCAGAGTCTTCCAAATGTTCTTCCTATAGTGTCACACTGATTGTATAACATTTTAGAAGTTCGTGTTTGAAGTTTGTCTTAAAACCAGATAGAGTGAGTGGGGAAAAAAGGTATTAGCCAGTATTTTGCTAGGCGAGGCATTAGCAACATACCACAGTCTTACTCATTTATCCCTATTCGCAGAAGTTTGACCAGAAGCCCAAAGTAAACTTACTCCATCAAATGACCCAAGTTGATTTATCAAGAGACAAGCTTCCAAGGGCCAGTAAACAAACTGCACATGATTCTTCTGGACGCATTCTTATGACGACTTCTTGACATTCTTTTGTGGTTCTTTTTGAGCATGATTCCTTTAAATTCCTAATGCTTAGTACAGAGTTGTTTTTAAACATGAACTACCTTTTTAACAATGTAGATCTGGGAAAGACCGCATTTCCTCAGTGCACATACACAAAAAAATCATCTTGCAAACATCTGAGGCACAGGAGTAACTTTACTCACAGGAATAAATTACTCAGTAAATCTGACCTTTTACATGAAAAAAATCCTCTGAATAAATAAATTTAGCTAGCCTGGCGAGGTTCAAATAACTAACATTGTCGCTTGCAAAGCAGAAGTTGGAATATCTGTGCCTGAAATCCTCTTCAATATTTGAGGTTGTTCTGGTATAGCTGTTATACTACAATTTAATTTATGTATGAAAAAGTATCTAGCAAACCAGGCTGATGTTTCCATTGAGTACAGTCATTTCCATTACATAAGACAGTGGTAGGGCAACAGAAATAACCTCAGTGTTTGAGAGGACTTGGGACACAGGCTATACCGTCACCAGGGAGTATGTATGTGGAGTTGGCCATGCTTCAACTGCTTAGTTGCTCTGCACACAAATTGGTAGTGCTTTCGTGTCTTACCCCTTGCTTACTATGTGACTATTTTCATAACATCACCTTTTTTATTCTGAATATCTTTCCTATCCAAATACCATTTCTCAAACAATATCTTGTGAAGTTGGTGTTTGCTTTTTGTGCATTCAGAATGCTGAATACACTTGCACACACATAAGCTTTGAGAAGCAACAACTGACCAGTGAAGCTCATTTCAATGTGTTTTGTTTCTGAGGTATGGAGAAGTTTTTACTAGTCCAGGAGGGCTTAATACAGATTAAAAATCAAAATCCCTCCTGGACTAGTTTGAAAAAGGTATGCTATCTCCACACCAAGAACAGGACTGTGAAGTGCCTTTCATTTGGCATGCCACTTAGCCGTGTATTTATACAGTTCATAATGAATATGGGAAATCAATTTGGCAACCAATGCTTCTTCGCTGCATCATGCACGCTCCATGTATGCGGTCCACAGTTCTCTGGACCAAGAGGCTGGGGTGGTTCTGTCTCTAAGGCAATGGAAAGAGCTCAGCACAAATTCTTGACATCATTACAAAAGGACTCTCCCCACAGTAACTTCCCAAGTGACCACTGTGACTCCTCGAAGAGAATGGGGAGACGAGAAAGAAGCCTGTTCTTCACGCAGAGATTGATGATGAAAATAATCTTGTGGGGGGGGGAAGTGGAGGCAAGTACTTGAACATTCACAGTTTGATGCAAAGCACAGATGAAGTATATTCTGTAGTTGCTTCAGGCAGTTTTGCGCATAGAAAAAAAGAAATGTTTAGAAAATAAAAAGTTTACTTTGTCTTTCTGGATATAGCCAGAACCAGTCTCTATCCCACCTGGACAAGTGAAAATGGGAATCCAAAATTAATCTGATTTGTGGCAGTAAAGGTCCTTAAGTGCTTTCAACTCCTCAATCAGTGTCTTGTTTTGGTTTTCAAGCACAGCCACTCGATTTTCTAGACATTTCACATACTCCTTTTTCTTCCTGCGACATTCACGTGCTGCCTCTCTGCAGAGGAAAAAAGGCAATTCAAATCCAGAATGATAACTTGCAGACATGGGCTACTTAACTGTTCCAAGTCAAACCTTTACCTAGTACTGCCATTTTTAGAACGTGGAGGTGGTGTTAAGAAATGCAGGTCAGGAAAAAACACACAGTTCTTAACAGTTGCTCCTCACAAATCACACACACTCAAGATGCACAGATCATTTCAACATGCAGATGCCAGTAAGTTCGCATCAATAAAATTCTGCTTCTGTGAGAAAAGGATCCTACTCAATGACAAAATTCTGCTCGCAGGATTTACATTACAGCCTTCAGGCTGAGTTGAATGCTGCTACAATAATTGCAGTGATTTTATTGCAATTAATAAATGAATAATAAAAACATGGATAAGAGCATCTATTAATCTCTTTATAGTCTTAACTACTCCCTTTGCTGCAGTCTTAGAGGATGTTCAACAGTTCCAAAAAGAGCTGTATTTAGAGCTTTCATGTATTTGGTCTTGAGCAATACTTCAATGTTATTAGTCATGTCTGCATCACTGCAACGATACTACAAACAACTCAAATAAAAAATAAACAGTCACTAGCAACCATATAATTCTTTGTCCTTGTCGGCTGTGCCAAGAACATGGTAGTGTTAATGTGCTAAAAGAGATCTCGAGACAGTCAAGCTTGCTTGTAAAGACTGAACTGCCTGTAGGTAACTTGGTAACATACTAAGAACACCAACAAAAAATGTCTGGAAGATGTGCTGCTGAGCATCCTGAAGGCAGTAACACAAGACAGAAGTTATCCTGCACAGCTACAGAATGGTACCAATGGGCAAAGTAAGCACAAGCATATGCTAAGGTGGATGATAATCCAGGCAGAGGGCTCTCCTCCTGCAATGCAGCTTGTCAAAGCAGGACGCTGCAGATAGATATACATGTACTTGCTTCTTTGCCCTGAACCTTTAGATGTGAAGCAGAGCAGCTTCATAAGGAGAGGCTAAGTGTCCCTCCACTGCAAGTACCACACAGATTGGTGATACAGTCAATGTTCTGGGAAATAAGAGGACAAAGCTGAAGCCAGTTTTTTTGCTTATGACATAAATAGTAGTTGTAGTACTAGGTAGAAAGAATGTCTGTTCCAGGACCTACTTGGTCAGAAGGGTCTAAAAGTAATTTTTGAAATTCAGCTCCACAAAAGAGACATGAAACCTTCTTTGTAAGCCCTGAAAGGACTCAGGGATCCATTTGTCACTCCTACAAATACAATTTCACCTGCTTGCTGCACATGGGCCTTGCACAACTTTTAGTCATTTTGGGCTGTTACTTGTGTCACCAAAAGACTAAGTATTATTGGATCAGGAAGTGCCTCTCAGTGCAAACTACTAACCTGTCTTCCTGGGTGACAAATTTTTCTTTCTTTTTGTGATTTTTGTGCCAGCTTGGTCTGCATATTAAGCCACCTCAAGTCTGTGTGCTTTAGTTATTCATTATGAACAGCTAGAGTTATACTGAATTACAAGAGAGCTTTTAAAATGTAAAATTTACACAGAAAATTTGCATAATAATATCTATGAATATTTACGCTATAATCCTCCAATAAGAACCACCTCACCATCTGCCTCTCTCTCTCCCTTTCCCCTGCTTTGCTACAGAGCCTAGATTTGCAAATATCTATTAAGAAGACAGGCTAAAAGCACCACATGCAACACGATACTGTTGCAAAAGCTGTCAATTTAACTGAAGTGGGGTAATTCCCCATTGTTTTTCTTGGCTTTCCCAAACACAAAAGCTTTCTTTTACTGGAAGAAGACTGCTGACTAAATGAGGGGATTCAGAATGCTCATTAAGTTTTTCTCAAATGCAGAGCCTGAAAGGGTGACATCTACTATTCATTGGTATCAGAAAAATATATAAAAAGGGGACATGGGTGACATTCTATACAAAAACCTTTAAAAAGAGTGAACTCTCCTGTTCAGCATTATTTACTTCATTAAAGCCCCCCAAATAAGCATTGCGTCTGCTCATGTAATGTTCTATTGTGTTCCCAGCTCAGCTATCTACAGAAGATAAATGCACCTGTACAACATAGTTTTTTCAGACTGACAGATGAAGTAAACAGTGATTTTATGGGGCTTCCCCTGCTCAGAGGGGAGAGAATCACTGCAACACTGGTGTGATGGGTCAGTTCAGGCCCACCCCTTCCCTCTCCCCCAGCAGTAGGCTTAAGGAGCATCATGGCCAACTTCTCTCTGCTGCTCCCTTCCTTTGCTGCCTCTACCAAGTCCCACCTCGGTAGGCTTGGCTTTTCCTCCTCACGCAGTAAATCCTACGGGGACATGTCTCCTCTCTCTCTTTCAGCCCCCCTGCTACCCCCACAAGATTGCAAAGCTGCTTATTTAGTTTTTTGAATCTTTCTGCCTCTGGAGGATAAAATCCAAAGGGCAAACAGCTGAAGAGAACAAGTGAGACAATGAAGAATGCAGGTAGGTCAGCAGCAAGGGGAATGCATGCAGAAGGGTAAGGTAGAAAATCCAGGAAAGGAAACTACATGAATGTAGTTACTCAGAAACAATCAACCAGCTCAGTGTTTGCAAGAATGTAACTGAGGTCATGTAAGTCCCTCACCAGTGAGTTTTCTCCTTATGGCAAAAAATTCATATACCTCACAGAATGAATCTGACACCTTTACTTAAGGTTTCACGGTCACGATACCTGGCATTAGCAGATGTGCTTCTTTGTTCTGCATCTTTAAATAAAGGCAAAGTTTTCAGAAAGATTGGGATTCTTAGTACTTAACACTAGTTCTATGCAAAGCTGACTGGATAAGGAGTGATCTAAATATACATGCCTGTTCTTCATTAGACGCACTTCTCTCTTCCGCGCGGCCTCTTCTGCTGGCTGGGTTGGAAGAGCTGGCGAGGATGCCATGACTACGCCTGGTGCAATGGTGCTGGTAGGGGCGGTGCGAATCTGGTAAGTTTGCACATCTCCTGAGGCAGCTGAAAGGCATAAGGGAACGTGATGTCAGTGTGGTGAAAGTGCTGTTAAACGCTGTGCCAAGAGCACCTAGTCACCTATTTAACCATGTACTCTGGGTTACAGTACAGGAGGGATGATCCTCATCTGGGTCATCATTGCTATCTCACTCTTAGCTTATTAATG